TATTTCAGCCCCTAAAGCCTAAATCCATATATGCATGTTGAAAAGAACAAAATCCAAATCTGTTGAGTGTTTGGTCCACCACGACACCTATTCAGTTTTAGTCTTTTTACTTCATGGGCTACCATCAAAATAAAAATAAATATAAAATTCGAATAATAAAGTTCCAAAAATGTTAATTGNTATTTATTCCAGCTTTACTATTTCAGCCCCTAAAGCCTAAATCCATATATGCATGTTGAAAAGAACAAAACCCAAATCTGTTGAGTGTTTGGTCCACCACGACACCTATTCAGTTTTAGTCTTTTTACTTCATGGGCTACCATCAAAATAAAAACAAATATAAAATTCGAATAATAAAGTTCCAAAAATGTTAATTGTAAAACCCATTTGTAAATTATATCTCACCAACCAATAATGCAATATTAGAGCGTTAAAATATTATAAAATCATGTTCAAATATATCTCAGTGTGAATAGATATTAAATTCAATAATATGAATTAATCTAATTATTTCTATTCACATTTTAGCATTTTCACCCAATAAAAGGGTATTCAGAATGCACTTTTGCGCACTCATCACACCCCTCAACTTACTCATTGCTAGTCTCTAGCAATTTTCGTGCCGAAACAACAAAAGAAACCAAAGAAAATTACACACAAAGGCCACCAAGTCACACTTTCCAGACTCACATATCAAAACAATCTTAGGAATTCAATAACCTCATCACAAACAATCCACCTGAAGCAATCCACAGAGTGTGTGTTCCAAACTATATCTATCTAACTAGAAACTCTGNCAGAAACAACAAAAGAAACCAAAGAAAATTACACACAAAGGCCACCAAGTCACATTTTTCAGACTCACATATCAAAACAATCTTAGGAATTCAATAACCCCATCACAAACAATCCACCTGAAGCAATCCACAGAGTGTGTGTTCCAAACTATATCTATCTAACTAGAAACTCTAACACATGCAACATCATAAACATCTCAAGAGAAAAGTTCAACTCCATAACTTACGAGTATAAAAGTGTTTCATGTGGAGATTCTCTCTATGAAGTTGATAATGGGTGTGCACACACTCTCATGGGGAATTAGGCATTTTGAACAAACAACAAGCAAACATTGATCTTATGATAAGAATACTAACAAATGAGACTTTCACCATGCTTTTCCAAAAGTTTACTTAGGATCAGAATGGTCAACACAAAAGGTTGTAACATGGCTTAGGTTTGAGGCTATATAAAAAAATGAAAAAGATTCAATATACATATCAACGAACATGCTTGAAATAATAGTTGTATGTACACCGTAATCCATTTCAACGACAATATATTTCAATCTCACAGCGCTTGAAATAAGATTTCATCCATCTTGGTCTAGATAAAGTGGTAATATAATTGTCAAGGCAGAACCATGGTTGCAGGTCCAATAATCACATGGTCGACATCTGTATAAGAGTCATGATAGTTGATTGGCTCATTACGACAGTCGCGCAATCATCCATATCACGTTACACCACTGAAATCTATAAAATTTCCATGTTTGGATATATTGAATGACGATGAACTTTGATGCTGATGTGCACCAAGATGTTGGCGCTGGTTGTGTGAGGATGAACTATCGTTTGTTTGTCTTAAAGACCATAACAATGACCTTCTAGGAATTATAGTGTAAGGTTTACATTGTGAACAAATGTGTATATATTCACAAAATTAATGACTGGACACAATATTGATCAATAATTTTAATAAGTCACTGAAAATAACCACATTGGATAGTCACTTATTATACTGACAATACTTTGATTAATAAACACTGACACTGACAACACACTGAAGATTTGAGAACTATAAATCATTGGCATAAAGTATTCAACATAGGTGTAAGGGCCAGAATATTCATGGATATAGTTGTATTGCTTGGACTCGTCCATTTCCTACATCCTCACAGGGGGGGAACATTCACCCGTCACCCCAGAATGTGAAAATGTTAAGGTATCAATTTCTCTTATGAGCAAATCAGTGTAAGACATTTTGGTGGTTTGACACCTCCGGCCTGACTCTCACCATTGAATTCGTTGATGTCCTCTGACTCCATGTATAAACCAACACTATTCATCATCTAGTTGTTAAATACTATATTAAAAATAGAACCCACAAGTTCATTGTTCAAAATTTTCAATTGGACATATGTAGTCGTGTTTGGTCCCAATGTAGGGAGATATCTACAAATCAACCTGAAATTATAACAGTGCTGCCTCAAGGAGGAGAATCTTAGCTTAACCCATCAAATTTGTAGTACATTTTCCTGCTCCAATACAATATTATAGTAACTTGATTTTTCACCATGTAAAACAATATTGATCTAAAAACCCAACTGAAATAACAATTACCTATAAGTTATTAGCACAACAACATTTAGCCAATACAATTGGATACAAACTACGAATGTCAACTCTTCCAAATTAATTTGGTTTGTCACTACTTGTCCCAAGAAAAAGAAGATAAAAGACTTGTGTATGTTACTATTGATGATGTTATAATTTTATGTTTCATTTTATCATATCTAGATAGGACTCTTCAATCATATGATTAGTTACATAAATCACCAAATTTTATTAGATATTTAGTAAAACATCAAAAAAATTTTTTACGTACAAGGACGTGACTATGAGCATATCTCCTCCCTCCCCAAACACAATTGACATATTAAAACAAGAGTCGCAATTGTCTAGTTTTTTTCAAGCTCGAGTGTGTTCAAATTTAACACAATTGTTATTGACCAACTACAATTGCAAAGCTTAGATTTTTGCTCGAGCTTGATTTAATAAATTTGTTTTGGGACATTCAAGTTAAACTCTAATTTGAATTCAATCATCATGCTAAGGCATTTATTTTCAAGTCAGAAATAATTAATTCCTCCAAAAACTATTGAATAACATCTTTGGGCGGAAAGTTTAGTGACAATTTTGATCGATATGAAACTTAATCACAACAATTGTTTTGTTCGCCAAATGGACCAAACACTATTTCAATTCCCATAGACAAAGATAAATTCTCATGGACAAAGATAAATTCCCATAGAGATAAATTCTCATAGTTGATTACAATAGGGGTGTTGTAACCACACTGATCGAGTAACTACATCAACCCGCTCATATTATACTATCCTTAGGTTGAATAGCAAATGTGCCTGTGAGGAAGACGGTGAATACTTTTTTTATAACTTTTACTACACATCTAGAAATCATTCACACAGAAAAAAACATCCCAAATGCTCCTAGACAAATTTGACCATAATACACGAATTCCATCCTATCGTAGAATAGGCACCCATCTAATAAGTGAGCAAAAATTTTCAAAATTTATATGGATAATCAGATTAGTAATAAAACTCAAAAAAATCTATAAAATGAAACATACAATGTAATCCTATGAGTTCAAAATTTTTAGAGAGAGATAACAAAGAGAAAGAACAAAGAGGGAGACTGAAGGAGATAGCAGAGGCGAAGAGGGAGAGCGAGGGGGAAGGCAATAACAGAGAGATAGTGAAAGGGATAGTAGAGAGGGAAAGTGAGGGAGATGACAGAGAGAGATATCAGAGAGAGAGTGCATGATATATATATATATATATATATATATATATGAAAGTTAGGCTAGGTTGTTGGTGGCACTCTTGTGGCATCTAATGGTGCTCCAGTGGACGAATGCCAGTGGATTTTGATGGTGGTCGATGAGGATGGTGGTGGTTGATGGTGGTGAATTTTTGGAGTAGGGATCGAAGAAGGAAAAGAGGAAAATCAATAGACAAAGAAGAAAAGGAAAGTCTAGGTCTTTAATTTAAATAGTCCACAACATGCGTGTTGAAAAAAGTCTCTTCAACTGGCTTTTTTAAAAAATAAGTTGGTCCAAATAACATTTTTAGGCAAAAAATGTCAGTTGTAGTTATGTTTTTAAAACTATTTGGGTTTGGGATAAATTTTCAAAAATCACTTGGGTTTGAGAAATATTTTCCAAACTAGCCGTGTTTGGTAAAAAGCTCAGTGTTTATTCTTCAATATAAAAAATAGACTTATGAAACTAGTCTTTCTTAAGTCAAAAAATAACATTTATGCCACTTTTTTGTTTTGTCATTTTGTTAGTTGTTTTTTGAGTAAATTATGCATTTGGTTTTCAAACTATGACCTTTGTGTCAATTAAACTTTTGAATATTTTTTTGAGTTAATTGAGTCCTTAAACACTCTAATTCTTTCAATCAAGCCCTTATGTTTGCCTCCATTAGAGTTGCTAACAAAAATTTGTGGAATGTGCCGGTCACGTGAAATTACAAGGGCGTTTCAGGTTACCCGTATTAAACACATTGTAGATGGATGACCTTTCGTCTATAAATCTCGAAGAGCAATACACGAAACCCTAACCCAACACATGAGGCAAGTAGCTCATCAATGGAGTGGTTAATACATGCTACGGATGATGTCTTGCATCTGGATCAGATGTACCGTACGTGCACTGTTTATTTGAGGTTTTGCATTTTTTGTGGTTTTAATCCTTGAGTGTACTGTTGTGGTTAGTTCTGTTAGAGTCTATGTTAAGTTGATTTGCTTTATTATTCACGTTGCATTAGTTTATTGGATATGGGTGTCAGAAGGGATTAGTTTATTAGTTTAGGGTTGTGTGATGTTATGTCTGGTTGCATTAGTTTATTGGTTTTTGGTTGCATTAGTTATAGGCCTTTTTGTTTCATTAGTTTATAGGCTTTTTTATTGCATTAGTTTATTGGTTTTTCATTATGTTATTTGTCCAGAATTATTTTCTACATATCTCACCTCAGAAATGCATCACGGTGGTCGATTTGAACGCATTCCAAACAGGTAGTACACTGATGGATCTGTTAATTTCGCTGATTGGGTAGACACTAACAAAATATCAATTCTTGAATTGCATGAGATGGCTAAAGAGTTGGGATGTATTTCTATGAGTGCATGCTGGTATAGGGTTCTTGCAATGAATCTCATAAACGGGATAAGGATACTGGATAAGGACACAGACATACTTTCAATGGTGGAATGGATACCAACATATAGAGTTATTGAGATATACTTAGAGCATAATCAAGAAATGCATGAAGCTAACGTAGGTAGAAATAAAGATGAGAGGAATAAGCACGATTCAGGTGGCTCTGATTACTCTAATTTAGCAATTGGTCATGACACTGGTTATGGAATGACTGATAATGATTTAATGTTTGATACCAATGTTGACAACATGGCTGAAGGTAATGGAGTAAATTCTAAATCGAAGCTGGGGCCATCAGTTGAAGCTGTTGTGGGACCATTATAAGAACTTGCGGATGAAATTTGTATTTTTGATGATGATACGTCTGATGACTTAAGGGGTTAGATGACATCTGACGATGAAAATTCTGGCCAAGCTAGGTGTAGGTTTCGTACGACTTCAACGTTAAGAAGGAAATGTGAAATCTAGAATTTGAGTTAGGTATGTTATTTGCTTTAGCTGAAGATTTCAGAGAAGCTGTGAAAGAATACTCCATAGTACATAGGAAATAGATAAAATTTGTGAAAAAATGAGAAAATCGGAGTTTTAATGTCGACAAAAGAGTCAAAGATAAAGCATGAAAAGCACAATTTCATTTAGAAAAAATTTCAGCAGTTGCATCACAGGATTGGTACAAAATAAACATCAATTGTGTCATTACAAAATTTCCCAATTTTAACGTTACAAATCTTCACCCATTCACCACACCATTAAAATTACATTACAAATCTTCACCCTTGCACATGACAGTTACAGTTTCTGTCTTCCCCTCCTCATTAACCTCTAGATTTCTTTTCCAAAGTATCAAAACTATGAGACAACAAACAACTAGTCCCAAGCATAACATCTTCCCTCTTCTCTTGGACCTTCTCTCTTCAGCATCTACCTATTCAATCATCTGAGTACTCCCGGAATCACTTCACGCGATCACACACACATTGGTGGATCTTGTCAACTAAAAAACCCACAACTGGAATTCTGAAACAAAAAAAATAAAATAAATAAACAACCACAACTACGAGAATTGAATAAAAGGAAGAATTTTACTGTAAAATGTTTAACAACCTTGCCACATCATTTGGACAGGTCAGAAACCTCCTTCCAGGATTCTGATCAGTCCAAGAAGTCTTCTTCACTGCCCTTTTTTTGCAATCACAAAGCACTTCTATGGATCTTTCACTATCTTTGTACTTTCCCCCTCTACAGTGCTCTATTTTTTGTAGCACAGTGATCTGTTTCTTGCAAAATGGAATAGAGGGAACAAAACTTATATATATATATATATTGTGACTCTCACATGATGTAGTGGAGGGAAATTTGGCGCCAAAGGCTAGTAATTTTCAGCAAAATTCCCTTGCCCATCACATGACTAGCACACTCCACAATTTTTCATTAGAAAATCTAATGAAGGCAAAAGAAGGGTTTCATTGAAACAATTAGAGAGTTTAGGAGCTCGATTGACTAAAAAAAAGTTTAGTGGCTTAATTGACACAAACATTATAGTTTGAGGGTCAAATATATAATTTACTCTTGTTTGTTTTTTTTTTTTCATGATTGTGCTTATTAAGTTGGGGGGGTTTCTAGTAGTTATGGAAACTAGTATTCTTTATTTGGAAGATCTTAGGTGGACCAAATTTGGGGATCTAATATGTAGATCTAATTAATTACAACTATTATATTAAAAATGAGTTCTATCTGACATTGAAATTTACAATTAATTCAATGACCGCATTGAGTCATCAATAAAATCACTCTGAAATATAGATTTCTTATACCTTGGTTTGATAACATGCTAGATATGTTGGAGCGTGCTATGGTGTATTCCAAGGTTGACTTCAAGAGTGGGTATCATCAGATTTGCATTCGACATTGGAAAACTAACTTTAGTGAATGNCGGCATTGAGTCATCAATAAAATCACTCTGAAATATAGATTTCTTATACCTTGGTTTGATGACATGCTAGATATGTTGGAGCGTGCTATGGTGTATTCCAAGGTTGACTTGAAGAGTGGGTATCATCAGATTTGCATTCGACATTGGAAAACTAACTTTAGTGAATGAGGGGTTAATTATGCCCTTTGGCTTGTCTAATGCTCCTAGTGCTTTCATAAGGGTTACGAACCATTTGTTCAAACCTTTCATCNTGAGGGGTTAATTATGCCCTTTGGCTTGTCTAATGCTCCTAGTACTTTCATAAGGGTTACGAACCATTTGTTCAAACCTTTCATCGGTAAGTTTGTGGTTGTTTACTTTGATGATATTTATAGTCGTAATGAGATTGACCACTTGCAGCGCTTGAGAGAAGTAATTACAGTTTTATAGGAAAATAACTTATTTGGGAACTTCTAAAATTGCTTTTCAGGACTAATAACCTGTTGTTCTTAGGCTATATGGTTAGTGCTATATGGATCATACGTTTGACATAAAAAATGGTCACAACCTATTTGTGACCATGCTTTCTACCAAATTCTTTTGAAATTTAACTCATCTTCCTTATTTAGATCACGTGAGTCTCTTTCATTTTCCACTTATTTCAACTTCGCCATTGTTCTGAAGTTGGGAATCCTAATGACCATGGCTTTGCCTTCACCATCTCTGAGTTTCACACAGCAAGACATGACAAACTAGTTTTTGCATCTAATTTATTAATACTAAATAGCTTAGTTTGGTAAGTTTTTGCAGCTAATTTTGGTCTTCTTCAATTAGTAAACATTAAATTATCCAATGGTTCACATAAAAATTACCAATTAGAGACTATGGAGTATAACTCCTGTTGTTCCCAAAAAAATAGCACCAAGGTGAAACGATTATCTGGTGGTCGCCGGTGAGTTCGTGCACAGAAGTCGAGGACCGAAAGGGCTCCATTGGTCGACACTTCGATGATAAAGTCAATAAAGGAATTATTGATTGGGTGAAGTATAGGTAGGAAGTGTTACTTACATGGGATATAGCTTCATCTTTCCCTTTATAGGCTAAGCTCCTGTTACCATTGGAACTCTATAGCTACTTCTCAAATTGGGTGGCAGGAAATGTGGAACCTCCTTCCTCAAGTATCTATAACTAGTTTGAACTAAAATAGTGAGCAAGTCGTGAGTCTGTTTGGGTTCTGGAGCTACTACCCCACACCGGATCCAACTCTTGTGCTTGTCTCGTGATTCTTCTAGGCATGTGCTTTCCCTAGGACATATTTAGCTCCATCAGCTACCCCCTTGCTTGGACCTGTAGAAGGTATACTAAAGGCATTGATTACATTCATCCATTTGAAGGAGTAGAAACATTTGCTTGGTATACTTAATTGTCAAAGAGTCGTTGTGGGCCCAGTATATAAGAGTTCTCCGCCTTTTGCTCTAATTGTCTTTCAGAGCTTCTGGAATTCTAGTACACCTTTGATTCCTTGCCCTAATCTTCTTTTGCATTCCTAGTTCGACATGATTATTCACTTTGGATCACTTAGGTTCTAGCCACATATTTCAATTTTACTTTGATCAATTTTGCTTATAAGGTGGAAGAATTTTGATTTAGAGCCTCTATGGTTTTTTTGTGAGTGAACCCGTTGGTGCTCGTTTGCCTTAATATTTGAATTTTGTCTTTCTCTAGTCTTTAGTAGAGTTAATTGCTCTCTTCCTCCAAGTCTGTCCATCAATCACCCCAGCTTCCCGATTATGGCTATTAACTCTAATCATCCTTCTGCTGAGATCATTTTGGCACTCGTGGCCCTGGATGATGTTGCCAACAAGGATGACTCTGACTATATTCAAGAGGTTAGGTCCTCACCCTTGAGAATTAATGGGGCTAAGAGCATCTTTAGCTTTCTGAGCGAGGGATCCCTTGAAAAAGATTAGAGATTGATTCTCAATTCCAAGCTTTATGCGTCTACGAGTCTCTTCTTCTGATGAATCGCTAACTTTTCTTTCCCTTAGGAAGTTTGCTTCTATGAGTCCACCTTTGAAGCGGGGCTCCGTTTTCCACTCCCTAACTATATTAGAGAGGCTTTCTATTTTTTGAACATTGCTCCTGCACAATTGACTCCTAATAGTTGGGAATTTTTGATTCGTATGAGCGTTCTTTGGGCCAAGGCGAATGACATCGGTGTGCAACCTTCCTTTGCCGAGCTGCTGCACTACTACAGACTCATCCTTTACTTGGGGCAAGGTTTGGGGTGGTTTTATTTTTCTAAGAGTGAGGGTCCTTCTCTACTGACAAGCTTTTACTATAATGAAAAGGAATGGAAAGACAAAATTTTCTTTGTTTTTGGCCCTGGCTACAGATTTAGGCCCTCTAAAACTCTTTTTGAGAACTTTGTCTAAGTTTCGCGTATTTGGGGAACTCTATCCCACTTTCTAGTATGTAATTTCTTTGGTAGCTATTTTTTGTGTCTCCTTTAGGTTCTCATATTCACCCTTCTTTGTAGGCAAGTCAAAACCCATATCTTCTTATTCAAGAGCGTGGATCAAGTTGGCGCTTGATTACCCTACCAAGTACTTCTCTGAGCTTGTGACTGACCAAGCTCTCTCTAAGTGACGTCTAGGGCCTTTTCTTGGTAGTCCTGTGGAATCACCTATTCCAACCCCTCCTTCAAAAGGTACATATTTCCATTGGTTTGCCAAGTCTTCTGTTGTTGGCTTGTTTTAATCTTGAGTGATTCTTCAACTATGGCACCAAAGGCTATTGACAAGAAGGTCCTCCAGGTTATTGCTACCAGGAGGGCATTAGAAACAAGCCCTCTGTCTATCTCGCAAGTGATCAAGGATGTGTTTCCCTTGAGGGAAAGAGATGCTTCCGATCTTCGGTGTTTCTCCAACATCTTTTTCAAACACTGAGGTCACCTCTGGGGATGGCTCTTCCTAAGTTATTGCTGGGTCAGTTAGGTCAAGGCCCCTGTAGAGGATCCCACTCTCCATCAAAAGGGCAAAGGGAATGGTATAGCTTATATAGGACCATCGAGGAGAAGAAATGCACCTCGTTGCCATTTTTTCCTCATCCTGTAATTTCTCCCCCAAGCCATGGCACAATGTGGAGGAGGCCATGGCCCGATTTCATCAGTTTGCTCATAAAGATGAATTGTAGGCCTTTTTTGCTTTGGGGCCATCTTGGATCACTAAGTCAATGTTAATGGGGAGCTTGTTGGTTTCTGTCGAGCACTAGAGGGCTCAGGCAAAGGGACCCCCTATCCCCTTATCTTTTTGTATTGGCCATAGAGGTACTCTAAGTTATTATCAGCCATCAAACCTCTTCAAACTTAGGATTCAGGTATCATTGGAGATGCAAAAAGGTCAATTTAACT